CTTTACTTTACTTATTTAATAATTTAAATTAAAAAAATCTTATTTATATTAAATTTTATGATTTTATTCAAAATATCGTAAAGCCATAATTATAAATATGAATAAATTATTCGCTTTTTAGAGTCATAACTTAAATTTAAAACTAGATAAAAATTATCCTAACCCAAATTTATAAATTTGAAAATATGAAAGAACTATCCAACTTTTTTTTTCCCCAAAAACAAACTTGTCTAACATCAGACGTCTTTACTCCCAATAAAAGTCAAGTTTGAACTATTATAAGTATTTATTTCTTCTATCTTAACTACAAAGACTGGTTACAGATTGAGATCAGGTCATAAATATTTTCTCTAGAGTTTTATATAGTAAACAACAATTTCAGATCAAACTAAAACTTAAAGAAAATGTTTTAAAAAATTAAAAAAAAAAAAGTTTAAGAACATAAATAAAAAGTTTTATAGCTATGATTTAATTATGTTTTCTTCTTTTCGATTTTTAAAATATTGATACATCTCTTTGATAAAGTTTGTCAATTTTATAATACTTATATCAAATAAAATTATATTTATAAAAGTAATTTATATAATATTGGAATTAATAATATAGCAGTAAAAATCCAAAAAAATTCAAGGATATATATAAGCATTTAAACGTAACTTATGCAAAAACGTAACAGATGTTATGAGTAAAAATAAAGCAAAAATTACATAGAGTTACATAAAAATTCGCAGTAATTTACATAAACAAAATAAATTAATAATCCTTTCTAGAATTATAAGTAATTATTGTAATTAAACTAGATAAAAATGACATTATCTATCTTTAATGGATGTTTTATTATGTTATTTTTTGTTTAAGTATTCAAATTACGAATGATTACAAGATAAGAAGATTTAATGTGAAAGATAATAAATTTATTTAACATCCGTAAAGGCAAAAATTAAAAAAAAAACATAATAATGTTATAAAAAATTTTGGTTCGTTAAAAATTATCTAATTAATTAATTAACTTTGTGTTGCAAACAAGAAAAAAAATGTGCTTTAATCTCCACGTCCTCCCTTAATCTGCAAGAATATTTATAGCCTTGTATGAAAAGAGAATGTATTTTATGAATATATTTACATTAGTATAATATATTAAATGATTTACATTTAGTTTACGATACATATATGCACGTTATATACACATTGGTAAGGTAAGTTACGTTATTGTATATTGTATGTTGAAAGGACCAGATGCTATCGTTCGCGTCATATTGCTCCAATATCCAGTTGCACCACATATAACTACTATAAGTTAACAGAATATTAGTAACATGGGCTACAAATGTGAGCAATGCGTGAATAATTACATTTCGACAGTATGTGTACTGTATATAAAGTGCCAATGGCGCGTCGCGTCGCGTCGCCCGCCGACTAATGACACAAGCAAACAATCGCGCTTCTAATATCAATAGTTTCTTTAATTTTTTTATTTCTATTAAAATCATATAAATATTAACGAATTTATAGATTTTTACGAAAATAAAAAAGGGATAGCTCATCAGTAGGGTAATAATTTAACACGTCCAATTTTTGCTCAAATAAACTAATAATAAAGATTTAATTCTTANTTAATTAATTAACTTTGTGTTGCAAACAAGAAAAAAATGTGCTTTAATCTCCACGTCCTCCCTTAATCTGCAAGAATATTTATAGCCTTGTATGAAAAGAGAATGTATTTTATGAATATATTTACATTAGTATAATATATTAAATGATTTACATTTAGTTTACGATACATATATGCACGTTATATACACATTGGTAAGGTAAGTTACGTTATTGTATATTGTATGTTGAAAGGACCAGATGCTATCGTTCGCGTCATATTGCTCCAATATCCAGTTGCACCACATATAACTACTATAAGTTAACAGAATATTAGTAACATGGGCTACAAATGTGAGCAATGCGTGAATAATTACATTTCGACAGTATGTGTACTGTATATAAAGTGCCAATGGCGCGTCGCGTCGCGTCGCCCGCCGACTAATGACACAAGCAAACAATCGCGCTTCTAATATCAATAGTTTCTTTAATTTTTTTATTTCTATTAAAATCATATAAATATTAACGAATTTATAGATTTTTACGAAAATAAAAAAGGGATAGCTCATCAGTATGCAGACAATATACTGTAGTCAACGCGATGCACTCTGTGCATCGCGTCACGTATGGACGAGTAACATAATCACGATAATACTTATTATATTGAAATATCAAGAAATAAAATGAGTTTTTATTAATAATGATGGGCGGAAATTTACTTTTTTCCCCATAAATATGTTAAAAAAAATATATGAAATTAATAACAAAAAGCTATTAAAAATTTTCTTATGTATAATGAATAAATAAAACGGTTATTATATTGAATTTATATTTAAAAAATTCTCGCTTTTAAATTATTATTATTATTATTATTTTGTTTTATTAAAACAGCAAGTAAATATTTTATATGAACACTAAACAGTAAAATTAAATTCAGGCTATTTATTAATAATATCGAAATCAGGTAAATTTAATGTAATTTTTTGACGAGGGATTTTAAAAAAGTAATGTGCAGTTTCCTTTTATAAAACCTATAATTCTATAAAATTGTTATTCTGTACGTATTCTGACATACTAAAAGATGAAAGTTATTCTAAATCTATATTTTCTCAAATTATATATTTATGTTGAGAATTTGTATATTCTAAATTCAGTTCTTGCAGATTTTTCTTACCTTTTATTTTGAATTTTTAGATATTATATACAGTACAGTACCTGATTATACAATTAAAATTTTTAAAATAATGTTTTAATATGCGTTTAGTGCAATTAGAACTTCTTGGAGATCAATAGACATCCAGGCTACTTAGCTTTTAAAGATTTCCTGTATCTTAAAAATGAGTGTTTTCTTAATACAAATTTTGGGGTTTCTTTCAGATCTGCGGGCACTAAGAAAGCTTCTTTTCTATACTTACCATACATTTCCTATGACCTATCCTTCACCACCCATTGTGGGCCAAGCTCACGTTGGGATGTCGAGGAATGAGCCCAATATATTCAAGATAAATCACTCCAATTTGGATGCGATCCCTTAAATACATAGACTGACTACCTTAAATGCCTCTGTCGTTTTATTATCAATACACAGATATTGAAGTCCCCATAAATGAGGTCCTGCTGGTCCTTCTGGATCTGAACATAATAAATCTATTGTCTGTTTTAATTTAGATTATTCTACATTTAGAAAAATGAAAAATCGTTTACTCAATTTAATTTTGATTTTACAGCTGTAAATCAATTTATTTCTTGTTATTCTTCGTGTAATTATTATAATTGTGCAAATTATATTTATGATACATCGTATTCATTTGTACTTACTTCCAATGACAATGATAAATAAATATTGTCGATAAGAATAATAATTTATAAAATTATTTATAAATAACAATAAAAATATACAGAATGAAGATAAACGACGATATAAAAGTGGACATAATTAATTAATTCGTTAGCATTTAATTGATTATCTTCTAAAAATATGATAAATAATATTGTTATTTATAAAATACGATACTAAAATATAGGCTAAATATAGTCATACTGTTAATATTTTATAAAATTTTAATATAATTTCATTAATATGATCAATTAATATTCAACAAATATTAATTTTCAATGAATATCTATGAATAAATTATAATTATTATACAGTCGAACTTCCATTAAGGGACACCTCTAGACAACGGCCATTTTTCAGAAAATTTTGAATTAAAATGCATACAAAACAACCTCCGAACAACCGCTATTTTTTTTTTATGTTTCCGTCAATGGCCGTTGTTCAGAGGTTATACTGTTAATTAAACTGTATAGCACTTGTTTAATGTAATCAATTCTGTGATAAGGAATTTAAGTTTAAAGATGATATTGATAAGATAATTAAATAAAGAACAGAGTATATGAGTTATCGGGAAAATATCAAATCAAAGTTTTGTTGGGAATATGCCAAATGTCAAGTAACATGTTATTTTCAAGACTTGGTTTACGTAAATATTGTAGAAAAAATAATGAAATAATAAAATATATATACAATAATCTATTTATAAATTGATAACAAAGATAACTAAATTTTATATTATTATTATTATTATTATTGCTGATAATAACCATTTTACAATATTTACGAAAACAGAAATAATAATAGAAATTGTTATTATTATTATTATTTGAATTATAAAAAGTAAGAAATGAGAAAAATATTAAATTTAAAAAAATGAAAAATAAATTTTAAATTCTGTTTTATAAATATTTAAAGATATTCTTATTCAAGAAATATAATTTATGTAATTAAAATTAAGTTAAATCATTGATTTAATTTAACTTTATTTCTTGNTTCTATACTTACCATACATTTCCTATGACCTATCCTTCACCACCCATTGTGGGCCAAGCTCACGTTGGGATGTCGAGGAATGAGCCCAATATATTCAAGATAAATCACTCCAATTTGGATGCGATCCCTTAAATACATAGACTGACTACCTTAAATGCCTCTGTCGTTTTATTATCAATACACAGATATTGAAGTCCCCATAAATGAGGTCCTGCTGGTCCTTCTGGATCTGAACATAATAAATCTATTGTCTGTTTTAATTTAGATTATTCTACATTTAGAAAAATGAAAAATCGTTTACTCAATTTAATTTTGATTTTACAGCTGTAAATCAATTTATTTCTTGTTATTCTTCGTGTAATTATTATAATTGTGCAAATTATATTTATGATACATCGTATTCATTTGTACTTACTTCCAATGACAATGATAAATAAATATTGTCGATAAGAATAATAATTTATAAAATTATTTATAAATAACAATAAAAATATACAGAATGAAGATAAATGACGATATAAAAGTGGACATAATTAATTAATTCGTTAGCATTTAATTGATTATCTTCTAAAAATATGATAAATAATATTGTTATTTATAAAATACGATACTAAAATATAGGCTAAATATAGTCATACTGTTAATATTTTATAAAATTTTAATATAATTTCATTAATATGATCAATTAATATTCAACAAATATTAATTTTCAATGAATATCTATGAATAAATTATAATTATTATACAGTCGAACTTCCATTAAGGGACACCTCTAGACAACGGCCATTTTTCAGAAAATTTTGAATTAAAATGCATACAAAACAACCTCCGAACAACCGCTATTTTTTTTTTATGTTTCCGTCAGTGGCCGTTGTTCAGAGGTTATACTGTTAATTAAACTGTATAGCACTTGTTTAATGTAATCAATTCTGTGATAAGGAATTTAAGTTTAAAGATGATATTGATAAGATAATTAAATAAAGAACAGAGTATATGAGTTATCGGGAAAATATCAAATCAAAGTTTTGTTGGGAATATGCCAAATGTCAAGTAACATGTTATTTTCAAGACTTGGTTTACGTAAATATTGTAGAAAAAATAATGAAATAATAAAATATATATACAATAATCTATTTATAAATTGATAACAAAGATAACTAAATTTTATATTATTATTATTATTATTATTATTGCTGATAATAACCATTTTACAATATTTACGAAAACAGAAATAATAATAGAAATTGTTATTATTATTATTATTTGAATTATAAAAAGTAAGAAATGAGAAAAATATTAAATTTAAAAAAATGAAAAATAAATTTTAAATTCTGTTTTATAAATATTTAAAGATATTCTTATTCAAGAAATATAATTTATGTAATTAAAATTAAGTTAAATCATTGATTTAATTTAACTTTATTTCTTGTTTTTTTGAATCAACATATTTAACTATTATTTTATTTATTAATCAATTCTGAAAAAAAATAATATTTTCTTATATTAATTTTATCATTACTTATACGATTTAGTTTTTTTTAATAAATTCATTACTTAAATAGTTTGTTTATAATGAGAAAATCATTCTCTTAATGCAAAAAATTAATTAAAAAATGAATAAATATAATAAAACCTCTGAACAACGGCCACTGATAAGACACATAAAAATTGGCCGTTGTTTGCAGGTTATTTTGTATGTGTTTAAGAAAGGGGTTCTTGATAAAGTGGTCGCTGTCTGGTAAAGGTGGCCGTTGTTGGGAGGTAGCAATTCGATTGTATTAATTAATGTGCAGAAAGTCTTAATTATTTTCAAATCATAAGCAAATTAGTAAATTATAAAATGCAAAAATTCTATGCATAAATTTTAATTGAACAATATTTAATGAATATTTATATACTTAATTCACAATAGAACTATACAGTTTAGAATCAATATTTTGTTTTATTGTCTTAATTATGTAAACATGTTAAGAAGCATTCGTCATAATTATTATTTAAAATAATTATTTGACGTTACACTGGGTTACATGTGTTAACAGCTACATCATAATATATAACCTGTATAAAAGAGACATAAAAAATCATACAGAATCAATAGGATATGAAATATTTTCGTAAACTTTCTTATCGTGAATCATTCATTCAGCTCGACACTTTCTAATTAATTAAAAGTGATTCCATTACGAGTTTCACTCTATCTGAAAACATTCTCGTAAACAATTAGCTTAATAGATTTTTCTTTTTTTTAAAAACTTTATTATTAAATTTTATAGATAAACAAACTAACCAATTATTTTCGATTCTGTAGAAACATAATCTTAATTAACAAATTCTGTTTTAATTTTTTTTTATTAATTAATTTTCTATTTAAATCTTTAAAATATTTTTAAAACATACAATTCTTAAACTAGTTTCTTATGATTAATATTTAAGAAAATGATTTTTTTCAACCAAAATATCAAAGTTCAAAATATTTTTATTTTAAATTCAATCACTAAGAATAATTCTATTCATTAACAAAAATAAAATATAGAAAATTTCAATATTTTAAATCAATTTTTATTCTTCTTAATCGTTCATTTTGATCAATATATTGTAATCTAAAAATAAATTCAGCTCTTTAGTATAATTTATAGAAAATTAATTCATTCTTTCGGAAAAAGTTTTTATTCTTATGAATTCTCTAATCATATTCATAGAAATCATTTATATATTATGTGACAAATAAATGAAACAGATTGAAATCAAATGTGCGATGAAAGTTACAAATTGCCTGTTAAGTCTAAAATAATAGGTCTTTTCAGAGAAACAGCTGAAATAGTCTCGAAATTGCAAGCACTTTCCATCCATCTGGTTCAAGTTGGCAGCATGAAGGTGTACATGACAGCAACAACGGAATGTACATGTAGTCCGTCTCTATTAAATAGTGGCCTGTTATCTGTGGGTGGGGCGAGTTTGCTTTGACTGCCTCTATTTCCACGATTACACAAAGAACCCCTCTATTAGCATTGAAATAGTGTGCGTGATGCCTACACCTTTTCGATGTGTCTCTATATCCATCGTGGTTTAGAGATGAGGTGAGAGATTTATGTCTGTATGGCATGAGATCTGAATATAATGCAGAATCTCTTCTCTCTCTCTCTCTCTCCCTTTCTCTCTTTGTTTTCTAGTTTCATATTTTTAATTTTGTTTCCATTATATTTACTATTATTTGAAATTATACATGACACTAATCATCTGCTACATCATTAAATTCAGAAAATAACTTTAATATTTATGAATACGTTTGATTTTTTCAGTCTTATAAATAATAGAAAAACTGTAAAATTATACAGGTTATTCACCATATTTTTTTTTTCTTTATATTTTTTTAAGTATTAAAATCTAAGAAAAAAATATTAATATATTCTCGTATTAATTTTATTACTTATTTTAAATTTCTTAAAACATAAAAAAAATATTTTAAGTAATTTAAACACGTTTATTGGTATGTAATTAATCCTTGTTTTATTATTTAGAACTTCTTTAATTACATTTGCAATGTGATTAACTTATTTATTTATTACATTTTTTTAATTATTTTACTTTCTGGTAAATCCTTTAATATAAAATTTTTCTTCTTTTAATAAAAAGTTTTTAATTAAATAATTAAAAGGGATTTTAAAAAGCCGTTCAATTTAAACATACACGTGTAAAGATTTGCAATTTATACAAATAATATTTTGCTTTAACAATAAAACCAAGCTGCAAGAGAATGTTTTAAAGATAAATAATAAGGAAAAAAAGAAAATACAAGAAGAACTTTCAGGCAGTTGTTGATTAGTTGACCTCATATACCTAATACTTTCTCTTATCATAAGAAATGCATTAAAAAAAGGCATTTCCCTAATGTCGCTTTACGACTCTTCTCCAGGTTAGTTTCCGTACGTCTCGGTTTAATAAATCAACGTAGGACGAGGTTTTATGTTCAAGGCTCCGTTGCAATCCACGCCATTAATTCTTCTTAACCTTCATTATCGCTCACTCCTCCATCGTCTCGGCTCCATTAAACTAGAAAGGAGAAAACGGGTGGATAGAAACTTAATCCCCTTTCTTACCAAATTTACAGACGTCTTGGGACGATGCTGAATTGCTTACTTGTTTCTCTCAAACTGTACTGTCTGAATAAGTAGTTGAAATAACACCAACTATTATTGTACGATGAGTTTAAATATCGTGCTTATACCTGCTTGTCTGCCATGATCTCTAAATGACTTCTTGTTTATACAAATGTTTTACACTTTATAGTTTCCTTTATCCCTTTAAATAATTGCCACTTTAACGTTATAATAGCTGTAAATATCTTTCTTTTGCGGGATGAAATATAAAAAAAAGAAAAAAAAAACATTTATCTTCTTTGTTTTAGTTTGAAGTTTCCAAAATTTTAATTTTTATATTCTAGGATTAATTTGTAACCGTAAAAAAAAGATATAATGTATATATATTTTTATTATTTTTTCATAAAAATGTTATTCTCTCTCGCTCTCAAGTCGGCTCAAAAGTCAGTTAACTATGGTTAACTGACTTTTGGATCATAATATATTACATATAGTAAAACTGTTTAAATTTTCAAAAAATAATGGTAAAACTCAAACGAAAAATATTATATATTAATAAAAAAAAATAAGTNAACATCACCATTTAAATTTAAAAATATCCTTAGAATAAATTTATATAATATATTAAAATCATCAATAATAACTCGATTTACACAAAATTCTATCGATAAAGTTTTCTTTGATTTTAAACGAAGCTTTTATTGATTTTTTTAAGATTTTTTTTTCTCTCTTCCTCTCTTTTACTTCGAGATTACTGAAGATTAATATTCAAATTCCTTCTTTCAAAATTATTTTGTTTAACTCCCACTTCCATTATTAACGACTACAAAACGAGGAAAAAAAGGTTTTCAAATTAATTATAGAAAATTTCAATATTTTAAATCAATTTTTATTCTTCTTAATCGTTCATTTTGATCAATATATTGTAATCTAAAAATAAATTCAACTCTTTAGTATAATTTATAGAAAATTAATTCATTCTTTCGGAAAAAGTTTTTATTCTTATGAATTCTCTAATCATATTCATAGAAATCATTTATATATTATGTGACAAATAAATGAAACAGATTGAAATCAAATGTGCGATGAAAGTTACAAATTGCCTGTTAAGTCTAAAATAATAGGTCTTTTCAGAGAAACAGCTGAAATAGTCT